TTCAAGCCTTTCTGACTCTCGTGCTCACATTCTTCCCTCTGTGAAATACTGAACAGCAAGTAGTGTGGTGACAGAAATTACCTGTCACCTGGGGTGGCACAGGGGGTTGGGAAACACACATGTGATGTCAGTTGGTAGAAGTGTAACGCAGCCCTTAGTGAGAAAAGCATGGCGGCCATGATGCGAAATGTGAAGAAGACTGTCTTTTGTGCAGCAGTCTTTTTCCATGAACGCATGTTATAAAAATAATAGTACACGTGCCAAAGTTTTAGCTACATGAAAGTTTATCAGGACATTAAAAATATTTATTTTATTTTATTTATTTATTATTTTTTCATTTTTAAGAATTATTTTATTTATCTTTATGTATTTATTTACTTATTTTAATTTAAACAGAGAAGGACAGAGCGAGAGAGAGAGAGAGAGAGTGAGAGAGAGAGAGAGAGAGAAAGTGAGAAAGCAAGCCACCAGGTCTGGGATTTGAACTGCTGTCAGCCATGTGAGAGTCCAGTGCCCCCAGCCACCACACCACCTGCCAGCCCCTTATTATTATTTTTTAATTTGATGAGAGAGAGAGAGAGAGAGAGTGAGAGGGAGAGAGAGAGAGAGGGAGAGAGAGAGAAAGTACAAAAGCAAGATGCCAGATCTGGGACTTGAACTACAGTTGGCCGTGTGGGAGTCTAGTGCCTTAACCACCATGTCACCTGCCCACCTCCATGAGGACATTTCTATTAAAAGAAGGAATTGGGAAATATTAGGTCTTTATGCTAGGGGAGATGATCATAATATTTAGAATTGGATTATTGGAGTGACTTGTAAAATGAGATTGTTTTTTCTTTTTCTTTCTTTCTTTCTTTCTTTCTTTCTTTCTTTCTTTCTTTCTTTCTCTTTCTTTTTCTTCTTTCTTTCTTTCTTTTTTTTTACTTTCCTCATTTGTGTATTTTATTCAGAATGATTACTTTCTGCTTCTTCAGGAAAACTTAGATAGATTTCCCACAAATTTTATGTGACTCTTTATTCATGAAATATGTTTTCAACTTATTAATTAAAATGTACAGACCCATGAAAATAGCATTAATTCTATGGATTATTTGGAGCATGACCCTCCCTGCTTTCAGAAGTTCCAGTTATAGAACAGGATATGATCAACCTTTCTCTCTTTCTCTCAGACTCTGTGATTCTGTTTCTCCCTCTACTCCCAGCTGGCTTAAAAAAGAAAGCTTGTCTTCCAGGGCACAGAGGGAGGAAGGACCAATGAAAGGGAGTAAGCGGGGCCAGCTGATAGCCTGGTGGTTAAGATGATGGACTTCCACATGGTGACTGCAGTTCGAGTCTTGGACCTGGTGGCCTGAAAATCCCACCAGAAGCGTGCGCGTGAGGAGAGGAGAATGGAGGAGAAGGGATCGAGGTGTGGCCTTCTCCCTAGGGGGTGGTTTCTCACTTTCCCTCTCTGTGTCTCTTTCTCTCTCTGGTGAGCACGTGTGTCCTATGGCAAAGCAAACAAATAAAAGCAAATAGGAAAGTTTTTATACAATAGACACTATAACAATTTAGCTTTGTGCTTCTGGTCCCTGGGAGATTTCGAGGAGTCATTGGAGACCTGAAATGTCATCTGGCCATTTAAAATGTGCTACTTCCCGAACTCCGCCTCTTTTCTCTGCTTCTACAGGTCATGCTGTCTGCCAGGTGCCCACTCTTTAGAGCCTTTGTTCATGTCTCAAACACGTGTCTGCTCCGCCTCCACAAACTTCTGGGACACACAGTAAGCTCTATGAGTAGTATGCCTAAAGTTTTTTCTCTCAACTTGAAATTAGAAGATAGCACTCCCATTTCCCTGAGCGAAGCTTTTTACTAATTAAATATCCTTCAGAATCCTTTCTGTAATTCCTTCAACTATAGACCATCAATGCAGATGAAAGTTTTTTTTTTTTTTTGTTTTTGAGAGTTTTGTTCTAGGGCATGTGTGCTCATGGGGTTCCTCTTGGAAACTGGCATGATTTTCAAGCCTCCAGGTCCAGGACTTGAACCATGGTTAACCATATGGGAGTTCAGTGCCTTAACCACTATGCCACCTGCTGGCCCAGTGGATGAAAGTTTTATGAGACCTCTAACAGTTCTTGGTCATCATTTTTTCTCAAGTTCTGTTGAATTACCTATCTCCTAACTCACTCTGGAATCACACTAGTACCTTTTGTCTTAGGGTCTTCACTAAAATTTCCATTATATCATCTTGTTGCTATTTTAAAATAAAATATCAGGATACTTATTGTGTCCAACTTCTTAAAAATAATGACTGCACTATGAATGTTTGTGTATATACTGGTTGTCTCTAGGTGGTGGGGTTACTATTGTTTATCCATTTATTCTATATATTTTGTTATTTTATACATTTATAATCTAAAGATTTATTGATTTTTTAATTAGAAAAAAACAATTTTTTTAAAAAAAATAATTTTTCAAAGGAAGGGATAAGTAATTGAGATGGGAAGAGTCCCGAGGAAGCTAGTCATTTATCTTGTTATTTGTTGTGATTTATTGGGCCTCTGGGTCTGGGACTCAAACTGTGTTTGGTCATGTGGGAGTCCAGGGCTTGAGCCACCTCCCAGCTCCTGTGTCCAACCCAGCTGCCTGATAAATTACAACAAATAAATAGATAAATGACTAGCTTGGGAGTCAATATATTTTTGGGTATAAGAGGGCAGGAAGGAAAAGTAGAAGAAAGAATAAGAATATCCACAGCACTTTCCCATGCTTTTCTCCTCAATTCCTTTTCTGTCTTTCTTCTTTTTTTTCCCTTTTATTTATATTTTTAAAATTTGACCAGAGAGGGACAGAATGAGAGAGAAAGAGAGAGGGAAAGTAAGAAAGCAAGCTTCCAGGTCCAGGACTCGAACTGTGGTTGACCCTGTGGGATTCCAGCACCCTTAGCCACCACACCACCTGCTGGCCCCCTGTCTTTCTTTATTAATGTTTCTTTATTTACTTATCTTTTTGTTTGTCATGATTTTTCAAGCCCCCAGGTCTGGGATTTGAACTGTGGTCAGCCATGTGGGAATCCTGTGCCACTACCATGCCATCCACTGGCCCCATCCTCAGTCCCTTTTCTTTCTTTAGCAGCGCTGTGAAAAGACTTGTCTTCTGCTAGAACTTAAACGCACAAAGACGATCATGAACCCCTGGATTCTCCTGCTCATCATACTCGCCTATGAGGTTATGACAATTCTGCCTGTCCTGGGAGGCTTAAAGTCCAGATTTTCCTGTAGGTGGTCCGGCAACAGAGGGGGTGCTTTGCCCAATCCTGGGATGTCTATCGTAGCTGATTTAGGGCTCACATTTGCAGGATCAGCCTTTAAAGGACCAGAGTCCTCTTTAAGAAGAGACATCTGAGCTCCAAGATTAGGCTGGATGTTCCCCATCTAGTGTCCTTGTGAGCTCTTTCTTTCAGCTCTGAGAGCACTATTTGATATATGAAAAGGGAATCCAGCTCTTGTGAGCCTTCCATAACATAGCAGGAAACAATGTTTTCCAATGTCAGACCATCCTGGGTGGAGAAAACACCAACACAGAGCTTCCCATCTTTTCAGAATCTCTGTCTCAGCTGGGTGAGTCATTGACAAATATCAAAAGAGTCATAATTAACACATTTGTTTAGTTTGAGGAGAAGAATCTTTTGGTTTCCATTCTGCAAATTGGTTATGAAGATTAGAGCCAGAGGATATGGCAAGCCCTGAAAGCTCAGGTTATGTGAGAATACATTTGAGGGGCATAAAGTCATATCTGGTGAGGGTGTCCAGGTCCTTTCATTAGGACCAAGAGTCCCACAATGCTGTGGGAACAGGTGAAAGGAGAGGATATGTATTAATACAAAGATGGTCTCTTGTGAAGAGATACTGGTTATAATTTGAGGAAGGGATTTTCTTAGAAGGCAGAGTAATACTTTGTGTGTGGCTTGGAGCTTAAGTCCTAGAAGGGGTTGTTCAGTTTGAAAAGGGTTTCTTCTCCAAACTGTGGGAGGCTGGACTTGGCCAACTTCTACTATCTCAATTCCAGCTGAAATAAAAGAAATCGAGCAGTGCTGGGTGCAGCCTCCATCAGAGTATTGTGGGAAAAGGTGCGCTAAAGCACAGACCTGTTCGTATCCAAATCATACATGCTGCTGGACCTTCTGTGGAAACATCTGCTTGGATAATGAGTGAGTTGGTTGGGGTGAGAAGGTTAGGGCCTGGACATGCTTCATCACTGCTTCTCACTCACTGTTCAGAAGCTATGATGCAAAACAGAAGATTATAGTCCCCCAAATCCTGGTCAAGGAAACAGACAGTAAAAGTCAATGGCCTCCTATCTCCAAACCAAGGCTGCCATTCACTGCAAATAAGACACTAACAAGGAGGCCTCTACTTTTTTTCTTTCACCCTCATTCAGTTCTCTTTTCTTCCCTTAAAACATCACCCATCAGTTTGTGCACCTCTCCTCTGGGCAAAGCTCCAATTATGCCTTCTTAGTTGAGTCTCTCCACTAGCTCTCTTCTCTTAGCTAGACCTGAGGGGACCTATTCTCCACCTGTACACTCAATGAGCAAATCTCTTGGGAGAAATTGCTTAAGAGTGGCTAATTCCTAAAGTAATGGAAAGAATTTGTCCTTACCTGGGCCTACCTAGGGTGCTATTAAGTTTGGAAATGGATTTCCTGCAAGCTTCCTGACTTTTAACTACCTAACTTTTCTGTTCCAGAGAGCCCTTTAAATCAATGCTAAACTAGTGGCCCACCACTAGAGTGGACTGGAGGATTAATTGTGATCTAAGAAGAGTGTTGCCCTGGTTCTCTGTTGGGACATCCATTTGCTTCAGCCGAGGACCTCTCTGCATTCTCCTTGACCTCTACCCTAAGAAGGCTCAAGCTTTTGCCAAATAAACAAATGCATCAACCCTAGGGCTCTGCATTTCTTGTACTCTTTCCCTCCCTGAAACTTAATTTCCCTCACTATAATCCCTAACAGTCCAAACAGTTTCCATCTTATCATGGGCACAAGTAACCCATTTTGCCTTCCCAATTAGGCCTATATATTAGTCAGATTGGCTAATTGATATGGCAAAAATGCAAAGACATTTACAGAAAAATCTCTTGGAGCTAACAAAGATAAAAGTTTACTTTTTTCATAATATATTTCACTGAGGGTACCAGTGGACAGTCATCATTCAAGGTACCTGGCTCCTTCAGTCTGTAGCTCTGTCCTCTTCCAGAGTCTCCTCTGCAGGTTCCACATCCAGCCAGCAGATGGGAGAAGGTAGCATGGAGGCTCAAACAAAAGTATTCTAAGGGCTGGCTGGGCCTAAAAGTAGATGTCGTCATTTTGATCCACATCCTATTGGCTATAATGCAGTCATATATTTCCACCTACATGCAAAGGAATCTGGGAAATGTAGTTCAGCAGGATTCCTGAGAAGACCTGAAAATGGGATCTGCTGAACACATGGCGGTCTGTGACTTACCTACTTACGCAAAGCCAGACTCTTCAGCCAAGCCCCAAGACTCTGGACTCTACATCACTCTGCCTGATGGAACAAATACCCTCCTAGTAAGAAGGTGGTATATCTGGTCATTATAGAATGCATTCCTGATCTGGTCATTATAGAATGCCTTCCTGCCCTCCAAGAGGGTACCATTAGCTTTCAGAATGGACTCCTCTTTATGCCAACCTATAGTCTCTTTATTCCTGCCAGGTCATATCTGTCTGTTTAGCGGTTTTACTAGGGTAACATTACTCATTTCCTGAAATTTCAAGTAGTACAAGATAGGCTTCTCTGCACATATTGTTTCCCTAGATTACATCTGAATTTCCACCATCTGTCATTAGTATCTCGAAGAGCGTTTTAATGATATAACTCCTAGAGTAGGAGATTATGGAGCACTAACTTCATATCTAGTCTTTTGCCTTTCTTTGGACCAGAGAACAATGTAATGTCAATTAGATGGTTGAGTCAGAATGTCACACCTGTCAACTTTACAGTCCAAGGGAAGGGTTGAGAAGATGATACAGCAAAAACCAACAGCAGGGGAGGGACTAGGGTCCACTAGGATGCTGAGTAGAGCCTTAGAGCTCAGAGGAATGAAAAGAGACAATGGGTCAGAGTCTTTGGGGGCTCAGAAAAACATCCTTCAGAAGTGGGACTTTGCCTTTTGTTTTGTTTTGTTTTGGAGAAGTTTTTGCTATAGGGTGTGTGTGCTCACCAGAAAGACAGAGAGACAGAGAGACAGAAAGTGAGAAATCAACCCCCAGGGGAGATGGCCACTTCTCCTCCACTCTCCTCTTGGGATCTTGGGCATGCACGCACAGGTGCCCATCGTGAGTTTAAGCCACTGGGTCAGGGACTCGAACCACAGTCAAGTACATGGGAGTCCAGTGACATAGCCATTACACCAACTGCTGGTCCCTCAAAGTGGGAGATTTTAATGTATCACTTTTAGTAGCCATGAGAACGAGCAAACAAACAAACAAACAAACAAATCAGCATTGTTATAGAAGACCTGAACAGCATGGAATTAAAAACACTCATACTCACACACACACACACACACACATACACACACACACAACACAGAGTTTTGGGACCAGTAGGTGGCATGGTGGTTAAGGTGTTGGATCTCACATGGCTAACTGTGCCGTT